CACCTACCCTCATCAACTTTATCAGTATATCAAAAAGGAGTCTACTTTACTGGCATAAAAGTGTTCAACAATCTGCCACAAAGTATTAAAAACTTGGGCAATGATACTAAAAAGTTTAAATCAGAGTTAAAGAATTATCTACATGCTCATTCCTTCTACTCTTTAGATGAATACTTCAATGTAAATAGAGAATGATGTAAAATTAAGTTATATTAATTTTTAAGCTAAAATTGCCTGTACTTATGTATGTAACATTTTGACTTGTTCTGTATCCAAAGGTACTAACCTGCTTAGGATTTATAGAATGTAAATAAATTCAATTCAATTCAATTCAATTGTTGCTGCCTTGCCATTAATCATGGCTGCTCCGCTTTCTGTTTGCACCAAAGAAGAGCAACGTTCAGTGATCCGGTTTTTGTGGTTGGAAGGTGTATCAGGGGCCGCAGTCCATCAAAGACTTTCAGCACAATACGGGAACAGTGTTTTGCTGCAACGGAGTGTCTATGAATGGATTGAAAAATTAAAAAATGTTCACACATGTGTTACACATGAGGAAGGAGCCGGACGACCATCCACGGCCACAAATGAGGACAACATTGAGCGTGCACGTGACATGGTTCTGTTAGATAGATGAGTGACTATTGATGAAGTGGCAAATTATCTGCAAATTAGTCATGGTTCTGCCTACGAAATTATCCACAACAGACTTGGGTTTCATAAAGTCTGTGCAAGATGGGTCCCAAAAGAACTCACAGTGTTGCATAAGCAAACACGCTTGGACATCTGCCAACAACATTTGGATCACTATGGTAAGGAATATGACGTCTTCTTAGACAGAATCATCACTGGTGACGAAACATGGATCTATCATTGCGAGCCGGAGAGTAAACGGCAGAGTATGGAATGGAAACATCCACATTCGCCCAGCAAAAAAAAGTTCAAAAGCCAACCATCTGCAGGAAAACTGATGCTTACAGTTTTTTTGGGGACTCACAAGGCCCAGTACTGGAACATTATCAGGAGAGGGGCACAACAATAAACAGTGCTCATTACAGTGAGATGCTTACTGACAGGCTAAAGCCTGCAATTCAAAACAAATGCCGAGGACTACTGTTGAAAGATGTGTTGTTGCACGACAATGACCGTCCACATACTGCTGCCCACACTGCTGAAATCCTCCGGAAACTCAAGTTTGATGTAATGGCCAAGCAGTGAAGGAAGCGATGCATGCGTGGCTCGCTGCTCAGCCAGAAACCTTCTTTTCAGAGGGCATTAGGAAGCTTGTGCAACAATGGACCAAGTGCGTTAAGGGGACTATGCTGAAAAATGATGTTAATGTAAGTTTTCTATTTGTATTGAAATAAAATTTATAGCTACATTGCGGGTAATTATTGACTTACCTACATATATACAAGAATGGAATTAATTCTAACAAAATACTGAATATATTAACTATGTGTAAAATCAGATATATTAGTATTACATGGTAGTTGTTATGTTGTAAAATATGAATTCATATGAAACTCAATTCAATAGTTGGAGAACATTTGTTAGCTTACTGCCTGATGATGGCTTTAAATGCTGAAACATGCAACACACTGTCATATGATTAAGATCAATAAACTCATTGTACACAGTAAATGTGAATGAGATTTTGATAGTTGTGTTCAGACAGAAAAGACAAAGACTGGGGCATGATATTTGAAGACGATCCAGTTCAAACAGATAAGGTAACTGAACTTAATATCTTCTTGGGCATTCAGTTGTGCCAGTTCAGGGCAGAAGTCTTATGTTTTGAAGCGTTCTGCCTCCATCGTTAGAGAAAGTGTAGGAGATTGGAGTATGACTTAAATGTAGGAGGGGCCCAGTTCAGATCTTCCTGATTTACTGTCTGTCTTGATTGAGAGTTTCTAAAGTCATTCCACATAAGTCCTGATGTAGGTCACCATGGTTTCTACATATACCTTTTTAAGCTTTCTGTACATAATCATTCTGTCACTTTATTTGACTTTCATAAACTGTAGCCTTATTTCTGGTTCTTTTTTTATGTTCTAATGGTGGATGATCCTGTGTTGGCGAGCATTCTGTTGCGGGTAATGATTATGTGGAACTACAGTTCCACTTGATCACTACACACAAAAATAATTGTAATAAAGTTGCAAGGATTTACTGATTAAAATATATTCTTGTGCATAATGGTATAATGATTTGATACCAGAAACCCCAGTATGAATAAGACATTGCCTCTCATGCTGAGTTGTGAATCTAACTTGCCTGTATTCTGTAATAGGTGAAGTTATATATGCTCTATATAGGCTAACATATTCAGTCCTATTTATAGTCATCTTAGATTCTGTAATTATTGACCTGTTTATTAATTTCTGTCTGCTCTTTTAACTCAGTGCCAGAATGTCAATTGCTATCAGTATGGACAATATTCTGTGACGAAAGCAGTCTTCTGGGATTTGGCACCGTGTATATGTGGTGTTAACCGACGTTTCGGAGGAACGTATCACCCCCATCTTCAGGGTAGAAGAAAAAGTATAAGAAATCTGCAAGCGATAACACCGTGAGAAACGGTAAAGCAGACCTCCGAAACGTCGGTTAACACCACATATACACGTTGCCAAATCCCAGAAGACTGCTTTCTTCATAGTCACCGCCGTGAAAGCCTCAAATCTTACAATATTCTGTGACCATTAAATGCAGAAAATATGGTTCTTCTCTCTATAGATAAGAAAGCAGAGGCAGCACCTGTCACAAAAGGACTGTGAACTGGAACGACAGCAGGAGGAATGTAAGCACTTAGTGAGAATCAGTGAGCAGCGAAGGTGAGTCTGGGTCTTGAAAAAAGAGTAAATTAAAGCAATGTAATTTTTGTAAGTAACTGTAACAGTTTCCTTAAACTTATATAATGTTTGTATGCTATAAGAGTGTCGTATCCTATCATTTATAATTCCAAAAATGTCTGTCCAATGACGATCTAATTAATAGTGCAGTTATAATAATATGACGTGGATGGCACAACAGGAAGTAGGGTCACGTGAACTCTGCAGTCTCGTGAGTGACGTCACATACCCTCACTCCTTCCATCATTACGCAATGCTTGGTAAACATCCCCCCCCCTGTGGTGACGTAACAGCACTTCCCACTGTGACACAAGAAGGGGACGCCACTGTAACACGAGGCAACAGGGAATGGTATAAAAAGCCGGCTGAGCAGTATGTGGCGAGAGTGTGTGTTTAGGAGTGACACAGTGTGGATCGTGAAGTCGCCAAAGTCAGTTGCAGTCTAGCATTTGCCGGAGTGAATGGAAACAGGAGAAGTATTTGTGAAACGGCAGATGGCAGTAGTGGTGAGATTGTAAACTGTGTAACTGTGAGAGTGAGTGTTCAATAAATTCACTATATCAAATAAGGCGTGAATTTATTTGTCGCGTGACATACAGTATACTCAACACATGACAATAAGTTGGTTCTTTATGACAACATTTATATGAAATTTATGTGAAACACAAGAATTTTATAAAGTTAATAAAATNAACTCTCATGCTAGTTGGAAATACTTCACCCATTGCTGGATCACAGATTGTGGTGAGTTATTTTCCCGTACAGAATTTTCCATTATTTCAGGGTGAAGCAGCCTTCCATTTGAGATATTTTTTTATTGTTTTACTGAACTGTTTTAGGCAAGAAAACCTAGCTCTGCAAGCTCAACTGTGTAGCTTGGAGCAGCGTAGTCGTGAACTCTTGCTGCAACAAGGAGCAGCAGTGTCAGGTGCAGCTGTGGCACTGTCTGGCCTCAGTTCTCGACTGGATGGACTTGTTGAACAACTAGTGATGTCATATAACATCTCGGAGAAAGACCTGGAGGTAGTGGCAGCATTGCTAGTTTCATCCAGTGCTGCCAGGGGTGGTGGTGATGTTGGTGGTGCAGGGAGTGAATCGGCAGTTAGTAGGATGATGGAACGAGCTTGTTCAAGCAAAATTCTTTCCGCATTTACCAATGCAATTATGTAGCTTTGCTGTGCAAGCTTCATAAAGCCTGCTCTGATAACAGTTGACATATAGAGTGTTTTTCTTTTGAATGTGACAGGAATTTGGTAATTTGCTGTGTTTTATGTGTTCATTTAAATTTGTAATAAAATCCCTGTAGTTCATTTGGCTGTACTACACATTCCAGATACTCTTCCTGTGTGCATACATGTAGGGCTTATCCATCTGTCTTCTGCTAAATAACCCATTATCAAACATATAATCTTGACACTGATAACATGCAAAATAATAAATTATACATGACCATTCTAAATTTATTTACTGAAAACTGATGATGTAATATCCTTGTAACAACTCACTGATGCTATGAATTAGGACAAGAAGTGAATGAGTAAGGAAAGTCTTGTCAGATGTCCCATTTTATTTAAAGAATACAGAATTTGAATGGTGTATTTACTTGCATAATTCACTTATTTTAAAAGACTTTTCATATTTTTTAACAACATTTGTTTCATTTCCTAATCCCTCACCTATCTTTGCCATCAGATTTGGAATTGAGAAATTTGATTCATATGATTCATTCCCTTTAGAAATGTTATTAGACAGTATGTAATGAGGGTTCATATGTATTTGATACCTAATAAGAGCTGCTATAATTCTTTAAACAGATATTATATTTAAGCATCCTGCTGCACCCCACACGACAAATGACACAAACTCCGTCCCAAGTGCAAACAATATATCTTATATGTCTTTGATCTTGTTCTCTTCTACACTACATGTTTCGCCCTCTAACGGCCATCATCAGGTGTATACTCTTACGTTGCTGCCACACTGAACCCAGTCTAAAATTTAACATTTAAAAAACACATTGTTATCTTCTTCGTTATTATCAACATCTACCTCGTTGATATCTGTCTGGTATGTAGGTTATTTTGCACACATCAATTTTGATTTTCCCGTAGTACACGTAAAGACAAGCAGCGGCATGCACACAGGAAGACTACACAGAATAACACCTGTACAGTGTGGAAACAAGAACTAGCCGCTGCAGCGCTTTAGACATAGGGCGAGTAACCCTAACAATTTTAAATTTTAAATTTAAAATTTAGAGAAAATTTTAAAGGATTTTAAAATTATAACTAAAGATTTTATAGTGCTACTACAGGAAAATCAAAATTGACGTGTGCAAAATAACCTACATACCAGACAGATATCAATGAGGTAGATGTTGATAATAACGAAGAAAATAACAATGTGTTTTTTAAATGTTAAATTTTAGACTGGGTTCAGTGTGGCAGCAACGTAAGAGTATACACCTGATGATGGCCGTTAGAGGGCGAAACATGTAGTGTAGAAGAGAACAAGATCAAAGACATATAAGATATATTGTTTGCACTTGGGACGGAGTTTGTGTCATTTGTCTTTAAACAGATAATTGTAGCCTGTGATAGCAACACCCTTCACCATTAATCTTACTGGAATTAAATATCTTTGGTATACAGCCTAAAAGATGGTGGGTGTCCCATATGGAAACGACTACAGTTCCCATCAAAGTAAATAGAGTATTCCAGTCTTTATTATATTATTTCCAACCTTCCTAGGGAATTTAGAGTTTAAATGTGGGGTGAGAGGAAGGAAGGGAGAGCAATTACATAAGTAACTTTAATGCACCTTCTCTTCATATTGTTAATTCCGTAAGGTATTTTTGATTCAGTATTCTACTGGTTTAAAGTGTTTTAAATGAAATACCAGAGATTCATAATGTATGGAAACAAGTGGGATTGAAATGGATGGATGACATGCATTTACACAGCTGGAGACTAGTAATGGAGTATTCAAATTAAGATCAGAAGTTATTCTGATACAAGCTGTTCCTTTTAGTGCATTATGTAAAAGCTTCTAATTTCTTTGCTTATTCAAATTGAGGAAATCATGGTTGAGGGTGATTACATTCCAGTATCATCACCAAAGTAATGATTTGACCATGTAATTTATATCACAGTGACATGAATGTTAAATTTTACACTAAAGGAAACACATTCTGCTTTGTATTCCAGTAGTACTATTAACCCTTTGCTCCTTATTTATTTTACAATATTGAACGAGATGAATCAGCAAACTTCTTGGGAGTTTCTAAATTTAAATTGTCACTACAGGATTTTACCAAAAATGAAAATTTTTTAAAACTAAAAACTTGATAGTATACTGCTGAGGAATGGTATATTACCGTTAGCCTGTCACTTTCATGTAATTTTTGCCTAAAAAATATTGGGAGCTTATAGTGCAAAACCCATGATTTATTATTCAATTACATAAAAGGCATGTCTTCAGAAAATAATTTGAATAATGTGTATTTATACTCTACACTGATCCGTTAGTTCTCTAATGCCTTATCTGCTACTTTATTTTCTTTATTTCTGCCTAAACTTAGCAGGTATAAAAAATTTTCCCTTAGGCATGAAGGCATCTAATGATCAAGTTGTTCTGCTATTAGCTTTAGAGCCACATTAACAATAAATGAAAATTTTAATATATATATGTATATATACATATATTTTTTTTTCTCTTAAGTATTAGAAAATTACTTCCGAATATTGGAACCATTAAGTTTATGTTGCTTTGAAACCATCATATGCATAATAGAGTCTTGGTTCATAGCAAAAATAAATTGGATTATGTCTATTCTAATTTCCATCAATAATGCAACAATTGTTCCTTTTTCTTCCACTTACACTTTAACACATGTTTCGGCCTTAGATGGCCATCTTCAGGTGTCTTAATATATAAAAACTGTCACACTGCATTAATATGTGGTAAAATCACATGCTGTAGTGCACTTAAATGAAATAAAATAAAATAAAGTCCATTAAAATTTTCATCACTTTTGTGAAATTCTGTTCTACCTCACAAGGGGTGTTGTTCGCTTGTTTAGAACTATATGTTTCTCTCCATGTGTTTTGTTCACTAGTCTTCACTAGTCACTAGTGATGACAACACCACATGCTGCTGGAGGGAGCAACGCACAAACAAGGGGCATATTGCAGATTGCAGACTTAACAGAACAACGGGCTAATGAACAGAGAAACAAGCTGCAGAAACAAAGCACATGGAGAGGAGCATATAGTCCTAAACAAGATGGAATAGAATTTCACCAAAGTGATGAAAATTTTAATGAATTTTATTTTATTTTATTTTATTTTATTAAGTGCACTACATCATGTGATTTTACCGCATATTAATGCAGTGCGGCAATCTTGATATTGTGACGTGTTGCGCTATGGATGACGCCCCTCCCTCCCCACCAGCCATGACGTGCCATGCTGAGCGGAGCCGAAGTGCGCCGAGTCCCAGCACGCTGGTCACTATGCAAAGCGAGTAAACAGCGGTTGCTAAGCAAAGCGGGTAAACAGTGGTTGCTAGAGATGACGGTAATAACAGCGGTACCCATTACATAGTAGGCAAACATGGCGTCAGACAACAGTGGTGCCTATTACGTAACTGTTTTCCCGTTGTCCGGCTGAGGGTTTATAAGGGAACTACACAGCCGCCGAAGACAGTTCTCAAGGCAGCAGCCTACGAGTTGAGTTGGAATCTAGTCAGCAGTGAACGAGTTAGTGTGTGTGAGCCGGAGCAACACAGTTGGAATATAGCAGCCATCACAGAAAGAAGAACCAGACGCGTATGTGATAATCAGTGATAGTTTGTGATAACTGAGAATTAATTGGGAGTGTGTGATACAGTGACACTTGTATAGCTCCCGTACTGTGAATACATGTAGACTACTGAAGATAGAGTGAACAGATTATTGTGAATAGGGTTATAAAGTGTGAAACCCCGCAGAGTGAAGAGATTATTGTAGATAGGGTTATAAAGTGTGAAACCCCACAACTTTGTTATAATTAATTGTAGCTGAGACTTGTAGGTTGTTAAATAAGCCAATTAACAATCCAAACGGTGTCTTCAGTAACTAAACATGTTACAATATATTAACTCTTTGACTGGCGCGAAGGGTATTTAAATCTCACCCCTGTCCTGGCAGGCCATTTAAACCTTATGTCGCTAAGATGCATGTGCTTGCTTTTTTCTAAACAACTTCAACAAAAATTGGTTTTTAAAAATGAAATTTTCAGGAACTATTAAAAAGACAATATTTTATGCAATAAATGTCTTTCCATACCTTTTTAGTAGTTTTTCTTCGTGTGATAAACATTGAAACATGAAAGTTTGCAGAGAGCCACACCACAGCTTGCACACATGATACTTGTTTCTTTTCTAATCTTGTGCTTAGCACACACTCGACACTTTCTCATGGCACCATTCTTCTTATTGTTACTGGGAGGAACATGGACCATTTTGTGAACTTTCAGGCCACCCTCTAGACGATTTTCTGGGTCTTTCACTGGTGGTCTTTTCAAGGTCGCGTGCGGAGGCGTGACTGCACTCGAGTCTGACGCATTAGTTTCGTCATTCACTCCATTCCTTGACTGTTCTCCCTCTCCACACTGTTTGTTTGGTTCTGTCATTTTTTCTACACAGTTCAATATAAAATCTTTGAATTTGTAATTTCTCCTCTTGTATTTTTCTGGGCGTCAGGCACCGCACTCGTGTTAGCTAAATGTTCATCATTACTGTCTTGTGGATCATTGTCTATCACTGTATTATTGTCACTATCAAATTCATCCAATTCAGGAATCATTATTTCATCGCCACTATCATCATCAGCACAAATCTCCTTCACAACACTTTCCAGCTGGTCTGTAGGAACATGTCGACAATTGCTGCGAGAAGACACGGTGAAACTGAATGAATGTGAAATATTTTTTGAACTTTTCCTTCTCGGAGGGTTCTGAGAGTAATATAGACCCCCACAAAGTTTACAAGGGTTCTTTACAACCATGCACAAAAACTACCATATATATGTCTTTGGTTGATGAGTGCCAAGAGAGCAAATAAGGGAAGAGATTTTCAAAGCGTTAAAACACGCCAACGCCAGGGAACGGTTGGCATCACCCCAGCGTTAAAACACGCCCGCGCCAGTCAAAGAGTTAAGACACCTGAAGATGGCCATCTAAGGCCGAAACTTGTTGTGTTAAAGTATTAGTGGAAGAAAAAGGAACAATTGTTGCATTATTGATGGATTGTGTTATACATAGACGTTCCCCTTGATTGATCACGTTGAGAATATCAGTGATATTCAACAGACAGGTTTTAATGAACCAGTTAGTGGTATGAATTTCTAAAAGTTGTAATTGAGGGAACACATTATACAAGGGAGATCCATAAGAGTATGGTTAATTGTAATTGAAAATATATAGCACTTGGCTTGCTTATGGCTATCATTTTTCAGTTACACAGTTTCTGCACCCAGATTGCATTCCATATAAGAAGAGATCCTCAGTTCAGAAAGTTTTACTTCCTCATTCTTGACTTTCTATTCATGTAATATCCTTCATGAGCATGTTATATAACTGAAATGAAATCTGTAACCTGTGCAAACCACTATACTGGCAGGCACAACATAGTCTTTTTGAATGACATAACTTGCATATTATTAATGCATTAGCATTTTGTACTTGCAGTCTGACTGATGAGTGACTGAAATATCCAGGATAGTGCTTATTTTAATACTTTGTGGTGTACTTCCAAGTGGGGCAAAGGGTTAATCATGTAATATATTTTAGAAGACTGTATTCCAAATTATGGAAGTAACTGGTAGTTCCCTTACAGCTGATATTCACCAAATTCCATATTAACTGTAACCTGTAAATAAGCATGAATTAGGCTATTCAGATCTCTGTAGCACTGCAATCTTATATCTCATACCCCTAAGTAGTAGTGTAAATTATTTCTCCCCTGCATTATGACCACCTGCTATTGCATGTTACTAGTTCCTTACAAGTCAAGCAGAAATGTGATTCTATATTACATGCCAAAAATCGTTTCTAATATGATATTAATTACTATATTTCTTTTGGAAGCTAAATTGAAGCCACTCTGTATTAGTTGGTAAGTCATGTGCCAGCTAATTTAAATCTAATTGATGACTTAAATATCTTTAAAGTCACTCATTGCTTTAGTTATGCAGACTTCTGCTTGGCTTTATTATTTTCCATGTACTTTTGGTCTCAAAGGCCTCCTGAAAAACTAGTATAAACCTAAAAAACACAGCACTACAATATGTAACCATAGATTGCTGCACATAAAAATGCCACTATTTAGCATTTAGCAGTATTTATGCATGCTAGCAAATGAAACTATGTAAAATCGTTTTAGTGTTTTATAAATTCACCTGGTTTTGAAAATGATGGTTTCAGTTGAAAGTATGTTAAAGGTTTCATATAATAAAGTACTTGCTACAGCTAGGAAGTCTGCCAAAAAGTGATACATATTGGCGTCAATGATGCTTGAAGAGAGTTTATGACAATTTCTCTTTTAGTGACAGTGTCCTCAGTACAAACATTTCTAAAAAGTGGTCTTATGTCAGATCTTTATAGTATTCAACACATATGTATATGATTGGTTGTATAATGGGATATTTTGAAAGGACTGCAGAAGAGGCTCTTTATTATCTTCATACTTATTTTGTTTGTTATAAAACATATCTGTTAGACAAATAAGATTTTTTAATATATATTACTGGTGTTGAATGTCACTACTCTTCCACAGGTTCTGGAATAAATGGAATTCAGATTAACATGCTTTGTAATATGTACTTAATTTTATTCAACTATCTTAGTTTTCATAACAGCTGGATTTTTTTTTTCAATATATACATAAATGTTATGATCATATATCTTTTCGAGGGAGTGGGTAGATTTGTATTGATGAACAATGGAATTTGACTCAGAGCTAGGAAGAAAGATATCAGTTGTGGCAGATTCATCAGTTCTTGTGAAGGATTGTCAATCTATTGAATACCTCATTCAAGAAATAGTTTTCATAAAGGCAGATACAAAGAGAGGACATATAAAGCTCAGTAGCATGAGGCATTCCACACTTTACACTGGGTAGAAATAAAATATGCATATTAAATGAGCAGAAAATATGTCATTAGTAATCCACTGAGAAATTACAGCGCATCTCATGTACAGTAACATATCAGCACTTGATGCCTGACAAAATCTTGTCTGAAATACAACAGAGGTTTCTTAATTTATTTACATATGCATCACCCATGCAGTAAATATGGTATAACCATAAAAACAAACTGTTTTTAATTTTCTGATGTGTTGCTGCTGCAACAGGCATCCTGTGTGTATTAGACATTTTTGGTGTGGTGATCAGCATGTTATGTGTTTTATGAAAGTACCAAGTGCTTTTATTTTAAAACTTACCTCTGTTGAAAGTGATACTAATACAGATGACTTCACATATATATATATATATATATATATATATATATATGAACTTTCTTGCATTGATACTGATTTTCATTAACACAGTACAAATACAGAACCAGTTCTCATCACCATGGGGTTAATACAAAGCACTACTGACTTTCTCCAGAAATACAGAAACAGATGTTTTTTATTCAGTCTTGCATATGACTTCGTAAAACCTTAATATATTTAATGGGTATGGAACAAATAAAGAAAAAAAATTGATATAAAATAATGGATTTTATTATATTTTGCAGGAAGTAATATTTCACAATGAAGCCTACAGTAAGAGCAACAGCAGTGTTGAAGCAAGCCCAGAGAGGATGTCTGTTAATCAACCATCAGAACATCCGGCCTTTGATGCCCAGCGTACACCATCCCCCAAACGAGGGGCATCTTTTGTGTCAGCTGTTATCAGTGCTATACGGAGTGCAGCAGCTGGAGGTGCAGGGAAACGAGCAGTACTGAAGAATGAAGCTGTTCAGGAAGTTCAAGAGCCACATAAAGGTATTAGGAAGAACAGAAACATCAAGTTGTGTTGAATCTGTAAACTGAATTCAGAAAGAGGTAAAGCACATGTGCCTGTGTACACATGCAAGCATATTTAACCTTTAAGAGCCGAGCGACACCATATGGCGTCATGAAAATAAAGTCAAGGGGACGAATGATGCCATATGTCATCGCGCAGTCCACGCATGCGGCCGGCTTTTTAAAATCTAATTTTCA